TCAGTCTGTTTAGGATGTAAAAAATACAATTTATTTTATAATAAAATCGAGGGAACCCCATATAAAAAGTGCCAATTCACATTTAATACAGTACGGTGTAAAATTTTAGGACTACGCAAAACAATTTAACGATTTTTTGTTGCCTAGCTTCTAAGGATTATATATAATGCGTCAGCCTTTTAAAATTACCAAAAAGAATTATAATTTGACTTGGAAAGATTTCGGTGAGCGCTGTCAATTTTTAAAGATCTTTAAAAAAGTACGTAGAATCATTATTTTTTTTATGTTTGACTAGAATAGGTTTATAAAACCGTAAACTCGGATCAGTTCAAACTAATCCTATCAGCAGAGATTAACTGAAATTTAACAAGTTAAATCAAATAATAATCAATTAATCTTGTCAATTTTCATTGAATTTAGAACACAGCAGTATAAACTATTCGTAATGTAATTCACAGTGATGGAAAGGTTGCAAGCTCTCGTGCAAAAATCGATGAGAATATTGCCAATTTCTTCAACACTTTAAACTCGTCTCAGTACTGAAAATGTATGCAACTTTTCATAGATTATCTATTTTAATTGAGATAAAGATAAAAGTAAAAAGAAAAAGGAATCAATATTATTTATTATAAAAAAGATAATAAAATAAAATGATGAAGTTAAACAAATATATATATCTAGAAATAGCTCAATTTTCAGTACTGGGTTGACGTTAAATTGCAAAGCCTAGCCCTAGACACTGTACATTGTACATTGTCCATTGTACATTGTACGTTGTACAGTCTTGAACTGTATAGCCCTTGTGTTGAGTATAAGTTTTTAAGAAGTAATTACTAAAATTTTTAACGATTTTAGTTCACTGAAATGGTAAGAAAAACTTGTAGTTTTGTTCCTAATTCCAAAACTAGGACATTATATGAAAACGGTAAACAATCCCTGAAATTACTAAAATTATTCAAATATTTAGCAAAAAATAAGAAAAAAATTAAGAATAATAAATTCTTTTAACAAACCAAGAACTTAGAACATTCACACAGTTTCTAAATAGGTAACACACTCAGTCTGACAGCACTTGGTTATCTTTTATTCCACTCAGAAACAACAGTACAGTTTTTTTGTGAAAAAATATAGATATACAGGGTGTGCCAAAATACATGACAGCTGAGAGACTACTTAAAGATCGACTTTGATATCTGGTATCATATGTCCGATCAAAAAAGGAACTGCAATCATTGCCACACACTCTAATTTTTAAATTCTTAGATCTTTGCAACATGATGCTTTATACTCCATATTTAAACTATAAATCCTGTTAAATTAAAATCATAATGATTTACAATCTTGCAGGAATTCGAAAATTAGAGTTGGTCGCATGTGTTCAGTTTAGTGAGGCATCTTGTACATGAGTATATCTGGTGTATCTTCTGCATAAAGTATTTTGCACGCAATCTTTCTGCAATCTTTTTGCAAAGAAGATATACAGATTATATACAGATAACAGCTAATTTTGCAGTGCAAAATTTAAAAATTGGAATTATAATGGGGGTTGCATTATTTTTTTGCGAAAGAACAATTTAAATACTTATTGATGCAATTTAGCAATGTTTTAGAAAATAACTTTCCCTTCGTTCTGTGGAATCTCAAATTTATTGACTGGGAAAAAACGGTTTTCTATATGAAAATTAATAATTGTTGATCTGCGTAGGTAGATATATGTAGCAGAGACAAGGAAGAGGTTCTGATCTATAGGTATATATGTAGCAGAGACAAGGAAGAGGTTCTAATCTATAGGTATATATGTAGCAGAGACAAGGAAGAGATTCTGATCTATCGGTATATATGTAACAGAGACAAGGAAGAGATTCTGATCTATAGGTATATATGTAGCTGCAGAGACAAGGAAGAGATTCTGACCTGTTATATATATGTAGCAGAGACAAGGAAGAGGTTCTGAACTGTTATATATGTGTAGCAGAGACAAGGAAGAGATTCTGATCTATCCTCCCTCCTAAAATCTCTCCCTTCATAACTTTGTAAGGAACTGGGTGCTGCTGGCATAAGAAGGGCTGGGGATGTTCCAAATTTTTAACGATCAAGTTTTTATTAGAGATGGGCACATTCGGTTTTTTTTATTTAATTTGTTCATTGTTCATGAACGACCCATTTTGTTCGTATTTTTTAATACTTCAATAAAAATTGATTTCGTTTGTTCTCAAAAATTATCGTTCATTAATTAAATCTATTTTGTTTGTTATCTCGCCGAACAATCCTTCTGTAAACCCGTTTATTCAGTAAAATCTTTTATTTAGTAAATTCGTTCGTTCAATGAAATCGTTCTTTTTGTAAAAAAGCCTATCGTTTTTCAAAAAGTTGTTTGTAAAAATCATTTATTCAGTAAAATAATATTGTTTGTTTTTTTAACACAAAATTTGTTTCAAAATCCTTTGGAAAATTTGTTTGTTCAGTAAAAAAAGATTGTTTTTTTTTCATGCTAGTTTAAACAAACAAATTATAACTTGTTCATGAACGATCAAGATCATGAACAATTTTAAAACGTTTGTTTTTCATTTCTATGAACAAGTCATTCACCCATGGTTCATTTTGTTTCTGAACGACACCATCGTTTACAAAAATTTGATTGGTTGACAAAAAAGATGTCAATGCTTATAGCTGGATCACTTGTTCCATGTTTGTTCCTTGCAAAATTGTTTTTTCTCGGTTTTTAAATTATTGATTTTTTTATGAATTGTACACCAACTCAAGCTTAACATTCAGGTTGTTAACAATGGTCGATTGTCAAACATAATTGATCTTCATGCTATAATAACAGGTTTAAAGCCTGTTTATAGTAGGCTATAGAGGCAGGGCTCATAACGACAGCTTATCCATTCCCTGCCGTCCGAAAGGCCTAACGAAAATGAATTAAATTTTCTTTAATAAAAAAAAATAATAATATTTTTCCTAAAATTTAATATCCTGCATATTAAACAGTAAACTCTTGTTACAAGGAATGTTTGAATGTTCAAGTTGTGTCTCTTATTTTCCCATTTTGCAAACTTTAAACTGTTTAATTTCAAATTCACAGAGGGATATCTATCAACATCTACAGAAACACGAAAATAAGCCAAAAAAAAAGTGATTAAATTTAATTTACACAAAAAATTCAATTGGCATTTTATCTTCTACTAGAAAGTTTTTAGTGGCAGGGAATCTTGAATATAAATAAATAGACAATATAGATTCCGTACAGTCGTCTCTGAAGTCCCAGTCTTTGTGGGTAAGGCCCTGTATATTCATTTTAAAAGATTAAACGGTCAGAAAACCTATTATATAATGCCGTTTTTTCGGGGCTAACCTAGAATTGGTAAAAAATTGTTCATAAGGGTGATACAATACTAATTTTGAAAATACATGTTTAACCACTAATTTTAAGGAGAAACACCTCTTTTCCGAACTGGGCTAATGGTAGGAAAGCAGGAAGGCAGGAAGGTGCAGGAAGGTATAGGAATGGAGGAGGGGGGACGAATATTCTTGTGACGCCCCTTAATGCAATATATGAAACGTACTGTATACAGTACTGCAGTACATTGTATACCCTGTCTATCTCAGTCTTATTAAGTTGGCGAAGTTGTCCTGAGATATCTCCAAGTAAAACTAAAAAGAAAGTTACATTATATAAAGTGTAAAACGTATTGTTTTTGAATGATAATCAGGAAAACCGTTTTTACGTACAGATAAGTTTGTATTAGGATCAGGGGCGACTTATGATATTTTCCAGGGAGGGGAGGGAGGAGGAATAATTAAATTATTGCGTGCGAAGCGCTTCAAAAAATGTGATGCCCCTGGAATTTGCTAACAGGTCATTTTTATGTCAACCTGAGCAGCGGGAGGGGTTGGGGGTTGGAATGAGTAATTTTGAGAGAAAAAGTAGCGCAGCAGGCAAACATTTTTTGTTAAGTCTATACTTAAAATTTAAGGGCTGGATAGTGCCTGCTCTCTCTGTAGTTTTACTGTAGTTTTATTTTACATAACTCAAAAAGTATTGGTCTGAGGCTGTTAAAAGGGAACTGTTGTGAATTAGACATGCTACAATCATGCTTAACCCTATTCCTGCTGGGGGGGGGGCCAATTTGACCCCCCCTGTAGTTTTTTTTACATAACTCAAAAAGTATTGGTCTGAGGCTGTTGAAATTTTCTGCCTTTTCCTAAATGACAGTTTGGTTTGGTTATATTTTTCTAGACACACTTATATAACAGGATGTGACGTCATAGCAGATCTCGTATGCCGATAAAAATTAACAAAATTTAGCTTTTTGGAAAGCCTTTGACATAAGGAAACGAATTGTACTTTGATTAAAAATCAGGTTATTAAAATTTTGCAAAAATTCTTTGCATATTTGAAATGGCATGGTCAAGGGCTTTTCAAAAATGTACAATTTTTCATTTTTTGGACAAATTCTTTCCAGGAGCTTTCCAATGATGTATCATTTGTCATATTTGGACATCAAACATGGGATTTAGAGGGGGGGGGGTCAAATTGCCCCCCCCCCAGCATATCCTGGTTTTCAAGTACCCCAGCAGAGATAGGGTTAAGAAATACAGAATAATCATTAATTAATATGCATCTAGGTGAAATACCAGCAAACTTTAGATTGTCATGGGCATGGATCGTTTGTTTAAAAAACAACGAAGAAAAAAAAAGAAAAAGGAAATGATTGATTTTAAAAACTGTATTTTTTTTCAAAAACTATAAATTTACTTTTTTTAAACGAATAGTTTTTAGTCGGCAAATAATCCGAGGTTAGAAAACATTCAGGTTATTTGTCTCGATACAAAAAAACATTTAAGACGACATTTATAATCTTATCTTCCTGAAAATATTGAACTAAGTTGTCAGAAAACTCAGATTCATTAAAGAATTTGTTTTCAAAAGAAAAGTTTTTCGTTTTTGAAATAAACGATCGTTTCGTGTTGTTAAAAAAAAACTCAAAACGTACGGTTTGTTATCAAAAACTATCTTTTTTTTCTATAAAAACGAAAGGCAACAAAAACCATTGTTTTTTCAATCGTTATAAAAACAATGGCAACCCTAAATATCATTAAAGTTTGATTCTTCTGAAATTGAATAGATGGCGAACAAATGGGAAGAATTTCTATCATTGAGAAATTAAATAATTATATATTTGCCATTTTCAAAATTAATAGGATGGGGGGGGGGGGACACAAAATAACAGACTAAAATTTTGATTTTCCTGAATTAAAAAACCGGTTGAACTAGGAAAAATGTCTAGTATTTATTATGAAATTAACTGTATGTATTATGTATTGCAGGGTAAAATGTCGTTCTCCAGTCGTATCAGATCTTCTCTTTCACAAAATCAGGAGTTTTGGCAGACCATTCGTGAGCTTGAGAAGGTATATCATTAAATACCAGATTTTTAACGGATTTTCGTCACAATTATATGATGTTTTTTTATGCACCGCACCCATATTCTATTTTATTAATATTGCTCAATCTTTTATCTTTCAATCTTTATTATCTCTTTGGTAAAACGATAATCAACAGTTTTTGGGATTTTCATTTGTTTTAGAAACAATTAATAAGAAACTACATTTTCGCTATTAAAGTCGACCCACTCAGCCTAAAATCTTAAAACTAAGCTAAGAACATTCCCGCGGGTCTCCCAAGTTCCCTAATCAAAATATGAGGCAAATCAATCAAGGGGTTTTGAGTTATCATCGAACAAACAAACAGACGGACAAACAAGGGTTGCATATAAAATAAATCTACATTTTTCAGTCCCTAAAAGTATTGCAAAGACTAAAACCATCCAATTGAAATATTTTATCTTTTATTTTTATTGTAAAAATATTTTAGATTAGCTATGGGAACCCAGTTTTGTCTGGATTTTCATTTATAAAGGTCGATCTACTTAACTTAGAATGTTAATACCAAGCTAAGATTAGTCCCGTTCTCCTGAGTTCCCCTATAAAAATTTGCGATATATGCGACATACAGTGCACAAAAATTCAGTTTACTATTATATTTTTATAGATGTGGGAAAAGACTGGTCCTACTCCTGCAAGGCTGGATTCAAGAATAGAGCATTATGTCCAGGTCATAGTCTCTTTATAAGTAGAAATGTGCACTCATAGTCTCTTTATAAGTAGAAATGGCCACTTATAGTCTCTTTATAAGTTGAAATGGGCACTCATAGTCTCTTTATAAGTAGAAATGGCCACTTATAGTCTCTTTATAAGTTGAAATGGGCACTCATAGTCTCTTTATAAGTAGAAATGGCCACTTATAGTCTCTTTATAAGTTGAAATGGGCACTCATAGTCTCTTTATAAGTAGAAACGTGCACTCAAAGTCTCTTTATAAGTTGAAATATGCACTCATAGTCTCTTTATAAGAAGAAATGAGCACTCAGTCTCTTTATAAGTAGAGATAGGCACGTTCTACTCTTTTTTATTTTGTTTGTTCATCATTCGTGAACGACCAGTATTGTTAGTTTTTTGAAACGTTAAAAAAATGATTTTGTTTGTTCTCAAATTTATCTTTAATTTTACATATATTTCTTTCGTTTTCTCACTGAAGGATTGTTCAGTAAAATAGTTTGTTCAATAGAATCTTATGCTCAATAAAATTGTTTGTTTTGCAAAAAAGATGATTTTTTCAAAAATTTTGTTTGAAAAATCGCTTGTTTAGTAAAAAACTGGAGTGTTTTAAAAAAAATTTCTTCAAAAATCGTTGGCTAAGTAAAAAATGAACGTTTTTTCAAGTTTGTTCAAACAATTTTAAATTGTTCGTTTTTGTTTTCTTTTATTTGTTTTCAAAAAACAATAATTTTTCATTTTTCTTAACGATCCATTTCGTTCGTCCATTGTTAGTTTTTTTCCCGAAAAAAATAGTCTGTTCTCAAAAACTTTGTTCGTTCAAAAAAGCGATGCCTATCTCTATTTATAAGTGGTCTGTCAATAACCGGACATGCAGCGCCACATCTAGTCAGTGTGTACAAGCGGCGAATATGGAAACTAAAATTTTGTATAACATTGGCCGCTAGATGGAACCAAATTGGATTGATGTTTTCAGTCTTCTTCTTGATTGTATAACTACTATGAAGACAACTTTTATTTCAGTTTTGATTGTTAACAAGCTTTTTTAAAATTACAAGTTTACAAATAATCAGAGAGAAGCTTTTTAATTGATAAATTCCCTCGACTTCCATGTTTTTGAATCCATGTTATTTAGCAGCTTTATTCAAATTAAAATGAAACTTGTAAGTGTTTTCATTGTATAATATTATCGACTACCGTTATACCTAGGTCCATATCTTTGGCCCAAGGCTGTGCTTTTTAAACATAATTTTCATACAAATCTGTTACTATTTTAATTATTTAATGCAACAAATAAATTTCAAAAATTCTTCCCTGGTGCAACAATTTTTAACAAAAACAGTAATAGTTTTGATGAGGATTCTATTTTATAAAAATATTAAGGCTATGAATGACAAAATGACAAGGATGGGAGAAGAGCTTGTGAAGTAAGTTAAATATTTTTAATCAGCATTTTTGTTTACACTGCCTCCTCAGTTCCCCCCAAAAATTGTAAAATAGTCCCGAGAATTTCTTGGCAATTTCCGGAGAAATATTTTAAAGAAATTCTTTGAAATTTATCCAGAAAAAATTCCTGAAAAATTCTAAGGAATTTCTTGACTATGTATCGTATTTAGTTACCCAAAAAAATCAGAAAAATTGGTTACAAAATCCTGAAAATTTTTCAGGAACTTCCGGAGAAATTTTCCAGAGAAATTCTTAGGAACTAATTGGATGAGAAATTCTCAGGAGTTTCTCAAATAAGTCTCACAACTCTGATTCCCTAAAAAACTCTCTAAAAAACTCTCTAATTGGGGAATCAAAGGGAATCATCAAAATTGGAAAACTTGAAGAAATTCCCCACTTTTGTTACCTTAGTCCTGTTTAAAAATTTTTTAATGTTATTGTGAGCAGACATCCTGCTTTATTTTATTCATGCATTACCATGATTTTTCTTACACTTACTTGCAATCATGTTTATTAAAAAATTGATTTTTCGCATTTTTCATGAAACATTATTAAAAGTCAGATAGCTTTAGCCTGCTTATTAAAAGTCTCATAAATTTTTATGACAGGGTTGACTTGGAAGTGTCGCAACCCCTTTGACTTTTATTGTCATGCTCTAACTATGCTTTTCCACAGCTATTTACATTTATATTTTAGCACTATAAAGCACTTGTTTTTAGCCTGAGTTTTTAAGATGTAATTGGCAAAATTCTCATCGATTTTTGCTTGAGAGTTTGAGACCTTTAAATCACAGTGAAGTAAAGGAAGAGAAATTATTAATTATAATTTTTTGTTTCGCAAAAATATTTTTCGCGAAAATTGTTAAGCGGAAAAATACATTAATTCCCTACAAATCCTTATATATCTTATTTATACAGTCTTGAGATGGGCCATGTAGAGAAAGTTGAGGGACTTATTCTATCTCAAGACAAGGAAAGAAAAGTCTTGTTGTAAGTATTGGGTTTTATTTGCTTTTCAAAGAAAACTAACCATGATATGTAGATCTCGCAAAACAGCTGACAGATAATAGTTGACAGAGCTAGCAGAATACAAACATCTTTCAGTGATAACCAGAAAACTCTGAAATAGGATGTCCACTTTCAGACTCAAGTTATGACTTTAAATATTACAAAAAGCATGGGACACAGGAATTGTGCAGTGTAAACAGACCCATTTTACTTAATTAGTAGTTGAATAAGTGTACATTAAGACTATTTGCTTTGTAACAGCACTTTATACACTAAATATTGCTACAAAGGCGTCTTCCTATTTAATAGTTTTCTGTTTATCACTGCAAGAAACAATAAATTAAAGGTTAAATATTAATCATTATTTAAAACTGTAAAACTAGCTTTCATGGCAAAAATTGTTTTTGGAACATTTTGTAAACAACAAGATGCAATATATTTTAGCATCCTCATCCTCATGATATTGCGCAGTAAAAAGAAGAATTGTTTAATTGTAGAACATATTGAAATCCTAAATAGCACAGATGACTTGTTAACTGTCTTGAGAAGAGTTTTGATGTGAAATCACAGAAGTAGATGATATATTAGCACGGATGACTTGTAAACTGTTTAGAGAAGAACTTGGATATGAAATCACAGAAGCAGCTGATGATCTAAAACTCTACCCAAAAGAGAAGTGGATAAGGTTAGCTTTAAAACTATGTTTTTGATAGGGGAAAGTTGACACTTTGCACAATGTTGAATGGGATAATATTTGTTGGCACATTATGGTAAAAGTAGATATATAAAAAGATAAAGTAATTTGTTTTTTTGTTCTAAAATTCCAATAATTCTCCCTTTAAAGTGAACATTTCCATAGCTCATTAAAGGGACTGTTGTTGTAATTTTCAAGTGACCCTTCATTGTAAATTTACCAATTCACCGATTCACCGGTTCATAATGGTACCCTTTTAGCCTGTAATAATGTGGAAGAATTGTTGTTATCTAGTTTTAAAAAGTTTTAATCCTCACAACTTCCTTATTTGTTTCTATCAACAAAACACAAGTCACACTTCAAGAAAAATCAATTGAAAATAACCCTTTATATAGAGAATTCTTTAGAATTTCTTTAGATTTAAAAACAATTTTTAATCATTCTTAATTATTGCAGTTTTTTCTATTTAAACTGTAATATTTTCAAAACTATTGATTGTTGACCTTTTTTTTAAAGTCAAAATTGTCCAACTGAAAATTTGGGCTGAATCGGTTCAGCTTTTTTGGCGTTTATGGGAAACAAACACAGACAATGGAACAAGCCATTAGTTTCAGAGGGTATAAGAGTGAAACTTTATTTCTTTGATGGTTTTTCTAGTTAATGTGCCATTAAGGGTCTATTCCAGTATTACTGGTGTGAAGTGCTGTAAAATAGTGTAACATGGAAACACTTAAATGCCATGCAATTACAAAAAATCTGTTTCTGTTTAGTTTTCAACATTAATTTATTTTTCAAAAACGGCTGATCCATTTTTTTAATGATTTAAAAATCAACATTTTTTTGCTGTCCGTAAACAGACTCTTCAGCTTATTTTCAAAAACCTCCATTTCATGAATGGAACTTTGCCCAGCCCTGTTATCAATTGTCGTATTCTAGAGATGAGGTTAGTAGACTAAAGGCAGAGAAGGTTGAGAAGATGAGGGATTATCTGGAACAGATTCAGAAAAAACAGGAGTTGGAAGATAAACTAGGTATATACTTACAGAATTAATTTTGTGGAAAAAGAATTTTTTTGAACTCTTTTAAAAACAACCCTTTCTTCACTAAAACCAATAAAAACTCGATTTACATATTAATCAAAATAAATTAAAACATTTTTAAAGGAATTAAGGAGACTGAATGGGAAGTTAAATCTGTTCCAACTGCTAGACAGAAACGAGATCTTCAATATTACCTAGGTAAGTCAATGCGTAAGAAGAACTTGAAGCAAATGCAATGCAGAAAAACTTTTGTAGCTTAGAAGTTTAATGCTGGACAATTTGATTGCATTAAGAGATCAGTGGCGCAACTAGGGGGGGAACTAAAAGTATATCATTTAGAAGTCAAAATTTGGGTTTTAAATTATTTTAAATTTTTTTAAATAAAACATTTTTATTAGGAAAATGCTCTGGATTTTCTATCAAAAAGTTTTGTATAACTTTTATAACTCTCATTTAAATATAAAGCTTGACACTATAATCTCTATGTTGAACCGTATTCCCGGATGAATGGAAACAGTTCAGAGAGAGTACCATACCTACTCAGGAATGGCCTATCTGCATGCATCAAATATTGCATATTTTTCGGTAATTGAGAAATTAAAAATGCGCATTTTTGGCTTTAATTTGTATAATATTATTACGTATATTTTACGTCTACTAAAACCAATAAATTTGCGTAGCTAAGTGTGCGATTTTACGTCTTTCATGATGTAAAAAGAGCCAAAACCTCTACGCAAAATTTACGTAAAAATGCGAAAAGTGATTCTTAAATTGCGCTCTTTTTGTGCAATTTGGCTAGCTGGGAAGTGTGTTAAACCTGTTCTTGTAAGATCCTATGAGGAGAACCCCTATAAGCAAGGTTCCTAGACAAGAACCCCACTTAGCATGGTTCCTGGAAGGGAACCCCAATAAGTGATAAGTGAAGCAATATAAACACTTACATCACTCAGATAATCTCAGAGGGATATATGGTGATGAGAGACAATTCCAACCTGGAAAGTAACACTAGGGAGCGTAAAATTGTGAAGAAAGGGATAGAACATAACAAAAAACAATCATGTCAGCCTACACAGAATGTAATAGATGTCAAATCAGTAGACATTTCACTGATCAAGAAGTGTAAAACTGTGGATGTTCCCTGTGATCATGCTACTGTGAGAAATATACAAAAAGCTCTCTAGAAGTATGCAAAATTCTCCAGAATGGATTCTGAATATTGCAGTTTGATCAATGAACTGCAGAGAATTGGTGCTTGAGAATTGAGGAGTTATAAAAAAAGGCAAAAATTCATAGTATTAATACTTCTAAAAGGGAATACAGCTGATGTGGGAGTTTTCTCTCATAATGCTAAAATCACTATTGATGAGTTCCTTAAATCTGCTGAGATTGCTTATTTGGGTTGGGGTAACTCTGTCCAGAAAGCTAATAGATTGTATAATCATCATCTGTCTGAAGAAATTAAAAGCAAATTGATTAATAAGTCTGATTCATACACTGAAATGAAAAATGGCTGATTCTGAATTATAGTGGGATCTCTAGAATCATTAACAATATATTTAATGATCTGTCTCGTTGTCTTAAGCCTATTCCCAATAATAGTAATGTCAAGTTTACCTTTTATGCCTATATTTAAGGTGCTCTACAAAGATTGAAGACTGTTGAGGGTAAATGGTATAGACAAGCTCAAACTTGAGAATTGTTTGTATTCCAGGGCTATTAATTTGTCATGAGCTATGCACGTGGGTGGAGCGTGGAATCTGACCTTTGGCTCCAGCCACCTCGTGCTTAGATCTTAGTAACGTGTGTATTTTGGGCAAGGGACAAGTGTCCCTGATCTGGAAGCAGGTCTCCACTTTCTTGAGCCCGGGAGTACCAAAAGACAGTACCTGGCCAAGCCCACTGAAGCCTGATGAACTTATAGGAGCTGTTGTTTCCCCTCCTAGTGGGTTCCGTTAAGCTGTGTGCAATTCCTTATCTTGCCGCCGAAATCATCCTTAAGTATGCTTGAAACATCTTGTAGGTTTTTACAAGAGTCCTCACAATTATCAAGTTCAGAAATCGCCTGGGAACTCCCAGTCTCTTCAAGAACCGACATGTGAAATTGTCTAGGGATCCTCTGAAACTTATATGAACCCCAAGGGCAATGGTCTCCTTGATTTGGATGCCTGGGTCATGTGTTCTAACAATCCTCCGGGCTTCTTCTAGGAGCACCTCCTCTCCGTACAGGACTTCTTTCTGAATTTTACGTTCATTTAGATCTGCCGTATCACCACATATTATAAGATCCAGGATTATAACTTTCCCGCTCTTTGAGATTATCAGGTCTGGTTTTCTGAATGTCTTCTTGTATTGGAGCTTCGGTTCTTTAAAGGTGATATAGTCTCGTTTTAACATGCTTGACTTTAACATGTCCACAACTTTGTCATGCCTTTTCACCCGCAATCTGTGAGTCGCCTGACACACCTGGAAGATATGGTTGGAGTTGGCAACTTGTCTATCAAGTCGACAGAGGTTATACCCCTAGCCGCTCTTGCCGGGGTCTTCAGGGTGTTGGATCTAACTTGGATTGCATGTACAAAATCAGCTCCAGAGATTTTCAGTGAGCAATCAGTTACCCACTTGTTGATCATCTTTGAATTTTGGTGTTGCCTGAGGCCTTTACCGTCCACTTTAGAGTAAAGCTCCTCAGACCATGCTTTTTGTTCTGAATTCTTTGTGTCAATATCTTTATTATTAAATCGAATAGGTTTATGTATTCTCGTAACGCTTGCTTGACCTGCTATTGAGGTATAGATTGCTTGTACTACAGGGTCAAGAGATGCACTAAGTCTCATGTGCCTCTGCATCATCATCCTAGGAATCCTCAGGCCAAGATTGGGGATCACTAGACCTCTGTCCTTGATTTCCGCATGTATAAAGGAATTAAGGGTGTCTTTGGGTAAGTGACACCATATTTTTGACAAAAAATCGTATATTTCTATAAAGTGTCTTTAGGCTACCTTTAGTCGCCTTGCTGAAAATGAGTATATGGTATAAACTTGGTATAATGTGACGCCTCAGTGCTAGCATTCTCTGTTGAGGCTTTAGACAGGACTTGTCAATTCTTTCAAGCTTAACTCTCAAGAATTCAAATATGTCCTTTTGTCTTGGGTTGCCTGTACCGAGCTTGACTCCTATATATTTATAGGTTTCCTCCTGGAATATAGAAGGTACCAACTCACCATTAATAGTAATCACTAGTGTTGGATCCACTAAGTATTTCTTCCTTTGTGCATTGTAACCAATCACTATTGTCTTACATTTAGCTGCATTCATTTGGAGTCCACACTTGATGTATCTCGGAATCAATTTGTCTACTTGGTACTGGAGGGCCATCGAGCCCTCTGCTGCCAGGAACTCATCATCCATGAAAAGACCTTCAGCAATACCAACTTCATCATTTATTTTCTACATGAGGTTCTGGTCAACGTCCTCATTTCCTAGATCAGTAGTTCCATTAAACAAGGGGCCAGACAGCCGGCATCCCTGTCTAACTCCTCCATTTTGTTTAAATCTCTGACTGCATCCTTTGAATACAAGTTCAGAGGAGGAGTACAAGACATCCAGGTACTTCCTGATATCTTTATACTTGTATACTATAGGACAGATCCTCATTAAATTGCATTTTTATGATAATATATACCCAACAAACAAAAACCCGTGAAGAACACAAGATTATTTGGTGTATTTCACATGAGTGACCCGTCATTATCCCGTGATAATTCACGTGCTGTCGAGGTGATTGTCGACGATTTGATCACGGGTCTAGGACCGAGTTTTACACGGTGATAACCTGAGTTTATTTCACAAGATGAACACGGGATTTTTACATGGGAAAATAATTTTTCTCCCATCTAATTAAATAACATTTTTAAAAACCCTGGGAAAGGGGGGGGGATACATAATAGATTTCTAATATAAAAATATATTGTGTAAAAGAATATAATTATTACAAAATGTTGAGAAACTAAACATTTTAGTTTATATCTTTTACATTAAACATCTTGAACATGTAAACTTTAAACTTTTCATATCACAAAGTGATATTTCAAGTCTAAATAATGTTCAATTATGTTAATGTGTTTATAAATGTAAGAATTCTCCTTCCTGTATATATCTAAAATTTCGATATTCCAAAAAGGGGTTGTTGAGAAATACAATACAAAATTCAATGTGAAACTTTTCTATACTATGCTCATGCATGTTATAATCGGAAAAATTTATGTCAGTTGAAATATTTCATTTTACTACAATAAACTTTTAGTTTATAAAAGATGAGAAGAGACACCAAGTGTTGTGATTTTGCAACTCTGTTAAAAATGAAAGATGAAATTCTTCCCGTGATATCTCAAATAATTTGGCCCCTCTGCACCCCCTCCCTACCTGGGCATGTATGATCTCCTTTGATCTCAAGAGGAACTGGAAGGGTGAGTACTTGCTGGAGGAGGTGGCTGTTCATCAAGGGATCTAGGATTTACCATGTGATATTCCCCTGTCTACGGAACTTGCAATCTGGAGAGATGTTTGGAGAGTAGAGGAGTTTCATTCCTTGATTTCTGTAACTGATATAAGCTAGCCTGCTAGGTTGTAGTGGGGTTTAACCACTCAGGCATTAGTACCAGGATACAAATTTCACTCCAAGAATTGCCTGCAATGAGAGTTCAAGTTCACGGTACTTTAATGAACCAAACTGGTACTCTACTGTACAAAACGGTATCCACAGAGGAGATGATCTGTGGGGATTGAGGTGGAAAGATATTCCTGCTGCTCTGAGATTCTATGCTGTAGGCTTCTTCTCATCAAATCCTGGCTGGGTTTTTGTTATGAGATGTGTTTCCAGATCTGGATGTCCTGTGTAGGTACTTGGAGTGTGACCAGTTGTCTGCTGTAAATTGGTTGCTAGAGTGGATTGTGTTATCTCTGGAAGGAGTAGAGTTCCGCCAGATGGTGAAAGAGAATGCTCCTACTCAGACTGAGATGATGACAGGTTTTGCCAAGAGTAGTAGAGGGAGGATGTCCTCATCTGACAGGTAACCAGTGTGGAGTTTATAATGATTTAAAATTCAGTGATGGTGATGGACCAAACCTCTGTAGAGTAAAAAAGTAGATGTTAGTTCCACATTTATTGAAAATATATTTCGGTCTGGGTTGACCCTCGTCAGTTCTAACGATATAATAACCATCAAAATCGATTAAAAAAATAAAAAAAATGTAAAAATCAAAAGAATATAAACAAACAAAAAGATTATTCAAAATAAAAATTTGGGCTGTCAAATGGACATAAGGGAAAAGAACTCAGATTATGAGATGGGAAAAAGATAATTTGCAAATATTCACTTTCTAAAAAATGTTCATGGGGCTACAGGCTCTGTATGTAAGAAGGTTGGTAAACCCAGGGAGAGGATGAGTGGTGCCAAGAGGGTGCCCTGATCTGATTGTTTCAGGTTCTGCTCTTATGATGTGCAGATCAAGGGTGTGTCTGAGAAAGATGAAGTTGCTTTCCAGTTAGAGATCCCTACTTTGGTTTAGGAGAACAAAGTGTAGGTACGTTTCTTGAATTTAATTGGATTTAATTGTAAACAGCGATGCTTTAAATGGACATATTTTAAACCTTTGGTTATGTTATGAGTCAACAGCTTATGATTTCCAGCCACAGGGTGAAATTTCAACAATCAATCAAGCAAGTTTGTATTCAAGTTGCAGGGTGAAATTTGGACAATAGATCAATCAATTTTCTTTTTCTGGGTTGGTAAATGTTTCCCAACTGATTTTCACAATCTAGTTGAAAACCTTCCCTGAGTTAACCCTGGGTAGCTCTGTGCTTATTTACTTGTTTACTTTTAGGATAATCTGCAGAGGGCCTCTAGGTCCATAGGGCAGATGTCGGTATAGTCCTCACGGAACAGTGTGCTTTGTCTGATCTGAGCTTCAGAATTTGCCTCACCTACACTTGTCCTGATGGCATAAATAAGATTACAGATTATGGAGTTTCTCTATGATATATCCTGTGAACTCAGCCTGGAAACCAGTTTTATATAGTAACTAGGAAAGGCTTTGGGGATAAGCGTACATTTTCTTCAGTTTAGTTAAAAAAAAGATTCAAGTCACATTTGTTACTGTTTCATCCCTTTGTCTGACGTTGCTGTAGAAATGTGATGAGTGTTTTTTTTTTAGAATAAAGAAACCTTTGTGACTACAATAAATTGTGTGTTTGTGTCTGTACCTAGATTCCTTAAAAATCCCATGTCTTAAGAGTAGACGGAATGCCTTACATTTTGCTATATGCTATATGAAATTTAAAAAATGTGTATCTATGTATTCAATTTTGTCTCCTAATTTAGATGAATTGAACAAAGAGGTGGAGAGCAGAGAGACTAGAATATTTACCATGACTGAGCGCATAAACCAATTAATGTGTAAGTTTTTAATTCAAATTATTAAAAAATGTTATCTTAATTTTAAATAATTTCATCTTGTTTGAATGAGGAATACTATATAGCCAAGCACCAAACAGCAAGCAGGAAAATTATCAAGAAAGCATGATCTAAGTCTTGCTTTTTTAAGTTAATTTTAGAAAAATATGGAATGATGACCCATGGAGTTCACCTATGTCAGTTTAAAAAGAATGCTTTTAAAAAAGGAATGGCTTACCCTATTTGTTACTTATTTTTATTTGAGGAAAGTAAATACTAAAATGTTTGAGTATTGTTTGGATCTTTTGTCAAAATTTTCCTTTTAGATATTCTTGGCTATGGAGACCTGGATGTAACCTCCGTTTTAGCATTTATAGATACAGAAGGGTCAATCAAGAAGGCTGATCTAAAGGTAAGAAAAATGATTTGAGTACAAATTGTCTTTATCTTTAGCCAGGGAGATTTTAGGTCATATTTGTTAACCACCAAACTCAGGATATTTTTATTGCCATTATTTAGAACACATTGCCCAGATTAAAATACAGATAGTAAATTCATGGAGGAAACATATGGTTATCCATTAAGATAAAATATGTGGAGGATAGAGTCATACTTTAAAGTTCCCCAACTCCTCTTTTAATAAATTCTTGAGCAAACCTTTTAATAAATATTCTTACTAATTCAGTGTACAGTTTGTGAACACATTTTTTAGGGTTTTATTTGCTTATTAGGGGAAGATAAATGATTTTTAAGGGGAAGACCAATGAATGATGCCAAATTTCCATTTTTTCCTCCAAACTATCGAGAATCATTATCCCTCCTCCCAGGGGGGGGTGTAATTCTGAAAAATGTTTTAATTCAGAAAGTGCAAACAGAGCTTCAGCGACTGGAAAACCTTCGAGAAGTAAGGATGGAGGAGGTGGAAGGAATGCTGTACTCTATTAATAATCTGTACCAGAAACTGAACATTCCAGGTGCAGGACTAGAAGCATATCCTTATTGTTTTTAAAAAAAACTCAAGAGTTGTAACTAAAATATTAGTTTAAAGGAAGTTAAATCTAATATCAAATATGCAGGTTTATCCTACAACTGATTGCAGAACAATATATATTACAATTTAAAAAGAAGAGATAGGAAGGATGTTTATTGAAATTTTTAAATGTTTAAGAATATAATTTAAGTTGATCATTTATTCCAATATAAAGCAAAATAAAGAACTAACCTGTTACTGTAGTAATGACAAATTATTATTTGTCAAAAAATCTGTTTCTTACCTTTTAAATCTTACTCCAGAAAAAAAGGTTCAATGAATTTTGTTTTACAAGAAGTTGTAAAACTAAACCAGTTCAACCATGTAGCTGGTTAAATTGAAAGTTTATTTTGAACTATCCTTGAAATAAGAGTAGAGCTTTATAAATCCAATATTTGAAGTGCTCTAATTTGTTGGAATTGTTTGCATATGTGTCTAAATCAGATGACTGAGAATTGAAAGGGTCCAAAATCTCAAATTTTGATTTGGCAATTGAGAATTTGACCCTGAAGTGAAGTAGTTAAGGACAGGTAGATATGTCAGCCATCCCTCACCAATTAATGTCCCAGCTGACTCATTTTTAACAAAGTGATATCGAATAAGTTAAAACTCAGGGGTGGGGTGGAGAGCATGTGACACCAGTTCTTTTTAGATCACTGAAGTTAAGCACACTTGTCCACAGCCATTAACTGGATTGGTGTCCAGACTCCTAGATTTGATCATAACATCCCGATCATGTCCTGGGGACAAAAAAAAATCTCTTTTAAAATGATATCGAATAAGTTAATAGTCTCTTGTCTATATAACTAATATTACAGTGAATGACCGACTGGCCTTGGCCACTGGTGCTGTGTCTGGTATCCAAGATCTGCTGTCTGAATCCAACTACCAGGATATAAAAGAAGAGCTTAGCAGGGTCACTGTTTTGAAACAGGTACACACAAACTTGCATTCAATTTGAGTGAATTTTCATCCTGCATTTTTACTTAAAAGTTCATGATCTTTGGTATAAATAGTTTCCAATTTGTTCAGAGACAAATAAGTAACATTTTATACCAGGAAAGCAGGTTTCCCTTTTAATTTTGCAGATTTGATTTAAAGATTTGCACATTTTTTGGAATTTGAATTTTTATTTGGGAAATTATGTTTTTGGCTGGGATTTCCACATTTAAAAAAAAGTAAAAATCACAGCCAAAAAATATTGTCCTGCATTATAAAACAAGACAGTTGCATTAATAGATATTATAAATCTTCAAACTTTACCTGTGCTTACAATGACGGATGACCATGATCATCCCAACTTTTAGCACCAGTCTTAGATTTCTCTCATTTAGAAAAGCATGGATATGCTTGTTGCTGGTGCCAGGGTAAGACTGGAAAAAATCCAGCATCAGCTGTTCAAGAGCCCAGAGGAGATTGAAGATTTTATTGTAAAAACTTCTACAGACAATTTGTAAGTATGAGTTCTTCACTTAATTATTAAGTAACATGTTCTGTTCACCTGTATTAACTGTAAGGAGTATAAATGTATTTGAAATGATTTAAATTAATTTCAAAGGTTTGTGGGTGGGGTGTGGGGGGGATTTGAGTTAGGTCCCTGAACTACTGGGGTACCACTAAAGATGAGACTTCAGAGATCATTGTATGAAAATTTGTTAGTCTATTTCCTTAAATTTTTTAATAATCATGGTTCCTGGCTACTGTAAACTTGTTTCTTTCTTTACAAAACCATTAAACTAGGTATATAAAAACTTTACTGAAGGTAAAGCATTTAAATTAATGTTGGCTCGTCATATTTATGTCGTCTTTACAGTCATCCTTTGTGGGTAACCCAGTACCCGCTGCTGGTTAAAATCTTGAGTCACGAATTTATAAAGTCAAAGATTCATTAGAATTTAAATTGTAATTCATGATTTGAACAAAAGGTAGTTATAGCAACCTCTTGAATAAAATTTTTATCCCTGTTGCATCAACTTTTATCCTTGGCTTGTTAATCTATTTTCTTTAAACCTATTGCTTAATAATCTATTTTATATAAACCTATTAGTTAACAATCTATAATATTTTATTAACCAATTACATAACAATCTATATTCTATTAACCTATTACTTAACAATCTATATTCTATTAACCTCTTACTTGACAATCTATATTTTAATAATCTATTACTTGACAATCTATATTCTATTAACCTATTACTTAACAATCTATATTATATTAACCTATTACTTAACAATCTATACTTTATTAACCTATTACTTGACAATCTACATTCTATTAACCTATTACTTATCAATCTTTATTCTATTAACTTATTACTTAAATGTTAGAGATGAGAACTTGGACCTGATTGAAAAGGAGATTGACATCCTTGTCATGTTTCTTGAGCAGAACAGGAACCTTGTGGAAGATATTTGGGATCTTCTTCATCTAGAGAATCTATCAGAGGAGCTCATTGAAAGGTAAAACTCATTATCTAAGGGGAGTGTTTACGAAAAATGAAAGGGGTCAAGCTGAATCTTAAAAAAGTCGAATTTTCATATTTTCTTAAGCAAGTAAACACTGGAATCATATAATGAAAAAAATATTTGTTTCAATTATGTATGTAACTAATGTAATTGACTGAATAAAATTGAGATTGTTTTTAAATTACTTATTTAAATTCCAGAATTGATATTTTAGAATGAGCAACCCTAATAGACTGTTCAAGGCCAGAGGAAATCAAATGGTTAAAGGTATACTGTAGAAGGGAGGGAGGGGCTATGGGATGACCATTCCTGGAAAAAATAGCAATTAGTGGAAGTTTCAGCCCCTGAGCCAAGTTCTGTTCCTGATTGATTGAATTACAAGACTAAATTATTTTAACCAATCATAAAAGTTAAAGTTGTGTCTGCTACCCAGGATGCATTCCAGGCCATAGGCTGAATGTAGAAGTCAGATCTTATTAATATTACTACATTGGACTTCTTAGCACCTGTCTTGTTTAGCTTGGGTGGGGGCACCATGACATACTTTTGAACAACATAGCTCTAAATAACAATATTTGGAAACACAAGCTCCCAAAAAGTCTTTGCAAATACTTTCTTTTCAGCAGTCTGTAGTTTAGGATTTTGCTATTTAAACTAGGGTTGGGCTTCCTTACCCTAATTCTTCATCCTAAACTAGAAGATTATTTTGAGTTATCTATTTCCCATAATTTATACATGTAAATGTTGCAGAGGAGAAAGACCGTAAGAAGGTTAACTCTATTCCCAGGAGGTGTGAGAGGATTCTACGTTATGAGATGAATATGCATGTGTATGATGAACCACTGGAGGTGTTTGTAGACAGAATATTGGAGAGATTTTACGACAGTACAGGTTAATACAGTGCCGGAAATTTAACCCCAATCTGATTAGGCTATTTTTGTCTTAAATAGATGGTGGGGGGGGGGATTGTTTCCCCTATGATTGATCCCTTATGAGTGAGATTAGGGAGTGGGATACATGTGTTTAGTCCTTTCAAGGCCAGCTCATCAAAGAAAATTAGATCTTTAGCTAAAAACGATTAAAAAATTAATTGTCTATTTCTATTTTTTTTTTAATCAACAAGCCATTTGACTGCTTCCATCCTAACCTAAAGGCATAAAAAAATGTTGTTTGCAGAACTTAATCACAATAATGGAATTTGAAAAAGTAATGAAGTTTGGGCGTTTTTTAAGTTATCAAGAAAAACCAATGGGGGGCCAGAAAACAGCCCCCCCTCCCCATATTGCATTGTGACAGGTTAAGCTTGTATCTTTGAATGAAACTCCCAAGTTTCCTGTTTGAAGTATATACATTTGTGTAACTTTTAATGCAAGACTTAGTAAAAACTAATCAAAGGAAATGATATTTTGAACATGAAAATTTGGATAATTATTTTTAAACAACTTAATTTTTTAAAATTTCAATCTTACAAAAAAAATTTTCTAGGTAAGAGGCCTGTTAAAAAGGGGTCAAATGCCTCTTCTACTTCCAGCAACCTTGGAAATACTAGATCCTCAACAATACCAAAGTAGGTTACTTTTAGCTTAAATTTTACAATCTAGTGAAGGGAAAACATTTTATTGCAACCATAGTTTAATTAAATTAACAGGATAATGTTACATTGTTTATACGCAACATCCCCTCTTCTGGACTTCTGACCTACTAACTTTACCACCTACTGCAATATTATCCTTCGCCAGCTGTTTATTTTTGTTTTACTCAAGGGTTAGGTTAGGTTAAGACATTTTCTGAGCCAAGTGCTGCCGCTAGGACAGGCTAGAGGGCTGAGCACCACTGCTAGGACAGGCTAGGGGGCCATATCGCAGCTGTAAAACCACGCATGCTTGTAGGTTGGATGTGTAATATAGCGGATTTGGCGTAGGTCAGAAGTGGAGTAAAGTGGATTTGCGTAGGTCGAAAAATACACCATCAAATCATAGATAGGACACTATAGATGTTGTCTTTTCAATATTTCGATGAAACTCGTACACAGGTTATTGGGTTTCATCAAAATCTTGAAAAGACGACATCTAGTTCCCTATCTGTTATTTAATTAACCAAAGATAGCTGTTTTTAATTTTAAAGATAAGATTTTACTATTTTTCCCTACAGCTCTTGTTGAAAGCAGGGGTTCATGAAAATGAGACACTTGTAATAAATAGTATAGGATTTCCATTGATGATAAGGAGGAAATGGCATTGAAGAAAATGTTGTCAGAAAATTGGCACACTATCATCTGTGTGTTTGTAAATACATTTTCTAATCTACTTAATTTCCAGTTTTTAAAACAATTTTTAAAATTTTTTAAAAACTTAGGGATGCTAGTTTGACTGGTTTTAAAACTCTAATTTAAAGCTGTGAAAGGTAAGTTGGTGGTACAGCTCTTTGTTACAAGTTTTGGAGGACAGGGGGGCCAGGCTTGTGCTTAATTCCTGAGGGGGTCTATAGATCCTAATTACAGTTAGATTTAAATGATTAATTGTTTGATTTGTAGATCAAATGGTGTTGTTCCGATCATTGTGGAAAGTAGTGCAAGTCCCAGGTAATTAGACCAACTTGATCCACAATTCCCCCAGTTACGGTCTATATGGAGGGATGTTATGGTCTATATGGAGGGATGTTATGGTCTATATGGAGGGATGTTAGGGTCTATATGGAGGGATGTTATGGTCTATATGGAGGGATGTTATGGTCTATATGGAGGGATGTTATGGTCTATATGGAGGGATGTTATGGTCTATATGGAGGGATGTTAGGGTCTATGGAGAGATGTTATGGTCTATTTGGAGGGATGTTAGGGTCTATATGAAGGGATGTTATGGTCTATATGGAGGGATGTTATGGTCTATATGGAGGGATGTTATTATCTATATGGAGGGATGTTAGGGTCTATGGAGGGATGTTATGGTCTATGGAGGGATGTTATGGTCTATATGGAGGGATATTATGGTATTCAACTGGCTCTTGAGATGGATAAAATAAAATTCAAAAATTGAAAAATAAATTTTTTTTTCTGGAAATCTCAAACTCACAAAATCAAAATTTTATTAATTATTTACTAATATTTGTAAAAATTACTATGGAAAATGCTAAAATGCTAATGTTACTTTTGTCTGTCCACTGGCTTATAAAAAATAAATTCAAGGAATTTGCAAGAAATGTTCCTTTCTAAAAGCTTTTCTATAAACTGGTAAGAATGTGTAATTGGTGATCAAACCAACCGCGATATTGTTTAATTATTTGACCTTTCAGTTATACTGTGATAAGTTTATCTTGGGCTGATCTGTACTCTTCTCTACCACTCATTTTAATTTATCTGTAAAGTAGTAAAGTCTTCAATCTGGAACAAAACAAAGTTCCAGCACAATATAATGACAAATGATAAAAATGTTTATATATTTGGAAATATGTACAATCATAGCATTCAGTCCCTTTTCTTTTAAATGAAATAATTAGACGTAAAAAGGATAATTCAGTAGGAACAAAGAATAATATATTTTAATATGGGATATTTACTACTTCAAAGATAATTCAATGCAAGCCTGGTATCAATAAATACTTGCCTCAATGTTACTGTCAAGAAACATAACACATATATATCATAGTCACCAAGGTTTTTAATATTCTGAAAGATAAACGCTCATTTTAATCTCTGAGCTCATTTCTACAGCAATATCAGAAAAAGGAATAAAATAACGGAACTGACTCGAAAAATTTCTCTAACAACACTGAGGACTGTACACTTATACCTAAGACCTTTCCCTGAAAATATGTAGAACCAGTCTCTGGCCAGGTTCACAGAATAGAACAGTGATAAAACATTGTACTTCTTTCAGGGGCAGACCAGTTAACTCAGGGAAAGTTCTTAAATAAGTCATGTGACCTTGGTCGCGAAACATGTTTAAACCTTGTTCATTAAATCTGTTTTTTTTTAGAAACCCAAATCTTGATGGAGATGACTTTGCTCCCAGCATGAACAGCACAGGTACATAACATTAAGCATGTTTGTAGCATGTCTAATTCACAACAGTTCCCTTTTAACATTTGTCTGATGAGAATTGTATGAGATATCCCTGTTTAATTCATTAAAAATTAGTTATTTTTAATTGTGATTTCTCTGAGGGCGAACATTATTAGAACTATCTTTGTCTAATCAAGATTGAATGAGATCATTATTATTCTAATTGTAAACTAATGGGTTTTTACTAAACAAACGATTTTATTGAATGATCGTTCAGCAAGAAAACGAACAAAAAACTGGAAAATTAACTTTATAAAATGCATGATTTAACAAATATAATACCTGCTACCTTATTGTAGGTTTGATTTAGAACCTTCTACATTTTTACATAATGTTTTTAGAGTATGACAGTTTAAGAACTGGTCCCATGATTGCTGGAGACAGTAGATTTCAATATGATGATCATTCTCTTCTTTCATCTAGATCCAGGTTACCATGGTTTACTTATTTATATATTACTCCTGGAAGGATAACTGAATCCCTCCAGTTGAAATATAAACCCCCTGGAAAGATATCTGAATCCCTCCAGTCAAAATATAAACCCCCTGGAAAGATATCTGAATCTCTCCAGTCAAAATATAAACCCCCTGAAAAGATTTCTAAATCCCTCCAGTGAAATTATAAACCCATAGGAAGGATATCTGAATCCCTCCAGTGAATTTATAAAACCCCCTGGAAAGATATCTGAATCCCTCCAGTTGAATTAAAAACTTCCTGGAAAGGTATCTGAATCCCTCCATTGGAAATATAAACCCCTAGGAAGAATATCTGAATCCCTCCAATGGATTTATAAACACCCTGGAAAGATATCTAAATCCCTCCAGTGGAATTATAAACCCCTAGGAAGAATATCTGAATCCCTCCAATGGATTTATAAACACCCTGGAAAGATATCTAAATCCCTCCAGTGGAATTATAAACCCCTAGGAAGGATATCTGAATCCCTCCAGTGGAATTATAAACCCCTGGGAAGGATATCTAAATCCCTCCTGTGGATTTATAAACCCCCTGGAAAGATATCTGAATCCCTCCAGTGGAATTATAAACCCCTGGGAAGGATATCTGGATCCCTCCAGTGGAATTGTAAACCCCAGCCCTGGAAAGATATCTGAATCCCTCCAGTGGAATTATAAACCCCTGGGAAGGATAACTGGATCCCTCCAGTGGAATTGTAAACCCCCTGGAAAGATATCAGAATCCCTCCAGTGGAATTATAAACCCATAGGAAGGATATCGGAATCCCTCCAGTGGATTTATAAACCCCCTGGAAAGATTTATAAATCCTTCCAGTGGATTTATAAACCCCCTGGAAATATATCTGAATCCCTCCAATGTTTATTTTATTTATTGTTTATTGTTGAATAATCCTCAGGAACCCATGTAGAGTTATAATGAGGATGTCTTTAAAGACTTGGAGTTGCTGATGATGGTTCTGATAGACTTTGTAACTGGTAATCTAGCATCAGCATCTCACGGATACTGTCTGAACTTGTCATAGCTTCTCTTGAAGATATTCACTGTAGTCGACTGTTTAACTTCTTGTGGGATAGAGTTCCATTTTCTTGGAATTCTCAAGCTGAAGAAATTGTTCCTGATACTGGTCCTGGAGTTTTGTATTTCCAAGTTTAAAGGGTCATTAGCCATTCTTGTCACTCTGTTGTGGTTGATCTTTCTAAACCATGTTGCAGGGTTGACATCACAGAATCCATGAATTATTTTAAATGTCTGAATCATGTCGGCCCGCTCATGTCTTTCTTCAAGAGAAAGCAACTTCAACTCAATCAGTTGCTCCATATATGTTTTTTCAGTAAGTCCTGATATCATTTGAACAGCTCTTTTCTGAACAAATTCTAAACAATTTGAGTCAGCCTCGGTCCAAGGTGACAAAGCTGCTGTACAATATTCTAGGTGGGGTCGCACATAGGTTTTGTAGAGATTTACGAAAACATCTCTGTAATGAAAATCACGGGAGATGGAACCTAGGATGATATTTGCTTTTCTGGCAGCTTCAGAGCATTGGCTAGCTGGCTTCAATGATTTATTGATTAAAACACCAAGATCTTTTTCCGCATCTGATTCAGTTAATTTGATACCATTCATATAGTACTCATGTCCTGGGTTATTTTTACCAACATGGAGAATTTTGCATTTTGACTCATTGAATTTCATACTCCATTTATCTGACCAAGTACAGAGTGAATTTAAACAGTTTTGGAGTGCAACCTTGTCAGCATCTGTGTTCATAACCTGACCAAGCTTTGTATCATCTGCAAACTTATTGAGAACACTTATGTTCAAGGCACTTGTATCGATGTCATTTATAAAGATAATGAATAGGAGAGGTCCTAATACGATCCCCTGTGGTACCCCTGAGAGTACCAGTATCCATTCTGAAAACTCACCGTTCAAAACAACTCGTTGTTTCCTATTTGAAAGCCAACTACTTATCCATTTTAAAATGTCACCTTGAATTCCATAGGATTTCAGTTTATATAAGAGTTTAGTATGGGAAACTTTATCAAAGGCTTTGGCAAAATCTAAATATACAATATCCATGTCATTTCCAGCATCAAGTTCCTTGGTGACCCTCTCAAAAAACTCTAATAGATTAGTAAGGCAAGATCTTTTTCTCATGAATCCGTGCTGTGAGCTATTAATCAGACAATTATCATACAGGTGCTGTGTTACTTTGTCTTTAATGATGGACTCTAAAAGCTTACATGGGATTGAAGTCAAAGACACTGGTCTGTATTTTCCTGGATTAGATTTTGGGCCCTTCTTAAATATTGGAGTAATTTTGCCACACTTCCAATCAGCTGGCACTTCACCAGCCTGAAGAGACTTGTTAAAAATTAATTCAAGTGGAACGGAAACCTGAGAGTTAAATGTTTGGAGAAATTTTGCTGAGATATTATCAGGCCCAGCAGCAGAGTTTGCTTTATATCTGTTTATCTTTTTACTATATCCCCTGCTGAGATGTTTATTTCTGAAACTGGATCACCAAAAATTTGTTGATCAATGTTAACTTGTGTTGCAGTTGGATCCGTGTCTGAGAAGACACTACCAAAGAAACTGTTAAGAATGTTTGCATTAGTTTTATTATCACTGACAAGCTTACCATCCTTTTTTCAGGGGCCCAACTCCAGCTCTAGAATTGGTTTTTGTCCGAATATAAGAATTAAAAGCCTTTTTGTTCTCCTTCATGGAAAGATTTTTTTCAAATTTGCGCTTTGCTTGTCGTATAGATTTTTTAACTTGTTTTTCACATTCCTTAAATCTTTCAAAGTCACTGTTGTCTTTAGATTTCATATAGGTGTTATTCAGTAAACCCCTCCAGTGAAAATGAATTCCCTCCGGTGGTCTCCAGTGGAGTCAAAATCTTACTACAAACTTCCATGACTCCTCTTCAAAATTATTTTTTAGCTCGAGTGTTAATACATTAAAGGGGGTCCCTAAGTTCCAATCCCTCAATTGAAAATAATTTTTTTTAGTGGCAACTTTAGCTTAGCTAAACCATGCAAGGTTTCTCATTATTGGTTATTTTAAACAAAGTTTCAAACAATTTTAATATGTTTTAGATTCACCTGAATTTAATAAATTTAATAGAGTTTGCTCAACAATATTAAAGCTGAATCAAATACTTACTCAATAGCTCAAATCTTAAATTGTATATTTAAAGCTGAAGGTTTTGATCAACCCTAATTTGAATTCAGCTGATGAAACAGACTTCAATTGTTGTCTTCAGGGTATTTCAGACTTTAAAATCTTCAAGTTGAACTATTGTAAAAGATATGTAGCTTAAGTTTCTCTAAATGGTTTAAAACTTTTGCAATTGGGTAAATCTTGTCCTAGACCTAGGACTGGGCATCGTTCCAGGGAAATGATCGGTCTTTCTCTCAACGAACAGAATTATCAAAAACAATACTATTGTTCTGTAAAAAGAATGAAGATTTAGAACACGTTCTTTAAAATATCGGAACAATTAAGTACACGAAGTACCTAGGATAGAACAGAACAGGGATGGAATGGGGATTAAACAATTGGAAAAAGAATGAACCATTCAGCTAAAAATAGAAACACATCTTGACCTACCCAAACCTAATTTTAACGATTTCTAAGGATTTCCAGAATACCCAGTTCAGCTACTAGAAGTATGAGGTTAGTTTTATGCAGAATTCTAATACAAATCAGGATTGATAGTTTTTCAAATGCAGAGGTACAGTCTTACACACAAAGGAAAATACTTCAAGCCATTTTAACGTCTTCAGTACTTAACTTACATCTAAGAGTAAGAGGTATGAAAAAGAACTTCTTTACATTGATTTGAAAATTCTAGGAATATTTTCTTTTCTATAGCTTGCTTGGAACTGGAGATTTGACTGTTAACATGGAAAATTTTTGAGAAAAATAGGATTTCAATCAATTAATCAAAATTGTTTGAGAAGACAAGTTTTCAGAGATAATTGGGGAGTTACCCTATGACCACTTAGAAGCATCCCTCGTTGTCAGAACCAATGGGATAATTATTTTAACTTAAAATTTGTGCAGCTTGGTGTGAGGCATCATGGATCGAGAAGGAAATAGAAAGTATAAATTCTATATAATCGTCTCTGAAGTCTCTTCCTTTGTGAGTAACCCTGTATTACCAAGGAGAAGAGTCTAAAATATGATACTTTTATTTTATAAATTAAACCCTGAAATATAAAATAATTCTAATTGAAAAGCTAAGAATTTTAACCTTTTTTTGAGAAAATCAAAAATAATATACAGGGTGAGTCAAAAAACTGTTATTTGCGTCGCCTGGTGCGAAATTGTACCTTTTTTTGTGCAACTCCCCTGTATGGTGTTTTTTTTAATATTTTTTTAATATTAGAAAATTCGCAGTTTTCAGTTCATGTATTATTTTTACGAAAAAATTGTTTTTCAATGGTTCTTAAGGTTTCAACTGAACAGCCTATATTTAATACCTTAGACTATAATAAGAAGAAAGGAACTAGAGAATTTAAATGACTTTACAATTTTGCGAATTTTCTGTGATTCTTTGATTCAATCATTAAAATATTTTAGATTTTGATAGAAATAATTTATATACACATTTTTGCTTTTCTGAACTTTTTTTTGGGAGAAAAAAAAGTTCACGGATTATCTTTTGGGCCATTGGAATACCAAAAAAATCACACTTTTTTTACTCACCCTGTATATTTTTTTTTCAGGACCTTACGAAAGAGTCAATCATTCTCAGATCTGCAACATCCAAACTTTCAATATTCACAGGTTTTAAAAGAACTTTTATAGCAACTTCAAATGAAATTTGTTTTATAGAGAAACCTTGTATTGAAATATTTTTGCAGAGAAAACATTGGTACCTCATTCATTCTAGCTTTTAAGGCAACTTATTTATTTTTCAGTTTCTTAAAATTTAATTTCAGTCCTAGTTTATAAATTTTTAATCTTTATTTCAATATTTTTAGTTGTCTTCCATTTCTGAGTTTAGTACTACTAATACAGCAGCAAGGAAATCTAAGTAAGTTTATTTAACAATTCAGAAAAAATTTACAAATCATTAAGATTGCCCTGAATCTGATAATTTTGGAGCAATTTCTTAATAAAAGAAAACGTCTTTGAAAGTTAAATTACCTTTTTACCAACAGTACAATTTAAACGATTAATTATGAGAATGATATTGTTTTATTCAGCCCAAAAGTGTTTAATTCTGACAGTTTCCTATGTTGTTTCTGAAAAGCATGTCACTTACATTAACAATAAAATTATGTCTACAACCATAAAATGCATATTGAAAACTTCTTCCAAAACATTGAATATGTGTTTGTGTAGTAAGCCAGCTGTACCTCAAAGTGAGCCAACTCTGTCACAGACCAGGAAATCTCGACGCCGAAGTCGGAGTGTTATCACTCACAGAAGTTTCATCCCACGTAGCTTAGCAGTCAATAACAGAAGTAGCCTTGTCAGGTTGGGCCGGTCAACAGGACCTGAAAACAGGTGATCATAAAATTGCTTGGGATTTGGTTCCATGTGGATCTTTTTTGCTTCCTTAATCCTGGTCCTCAAAATTGTTTTATTTTTAAAACAAACAAGTTATATATTGGACGTTTTTAATAGGTTTGACATTTTCATCTATTCGCAGATTGGATTGGAAGACATAGTTAAACCTATATATATTATTACGCGATCATGCACGACGTTCTGGACTATATAGCCCCTGTAGATTCCCTGTCTGAATCTGTTCAACCCCTGAAAGAAGCAGTGTACTGTAGATTTGTTCTGTAAACTCGCTAGAACCAGTCTTATATTGTATATAAGGAAAGATTTGTAGTTTAGCACAGAAATTACCTTAGTTGAAAGTTTGTTGCAGTTTTAGTAGCTTGAAGTCCTATTTTTTTTCATGATTCAGCAGAAATGTGTGTAGTTAAACGAGGTTTTCTTTCAGAATTATGCCGATTGTTTGAGTTTTTTTTTGTATGTTAACTGCCTGAATTCTGTAGGACTACTCCACAGAAATCGTACGTGGTTAGTCAGATAGATGTTTATGTCAAGATAACGTGATTGGGTGATCGTGAAACTCCTTTTTCCCTTTTATTCCCATTATTAGCTATACTGATAGAGATTTTAAAACATTTTATTCAAACACAAAAATTGTGGGACTTTAATGAAAATTAGATAGTTAAAACAAACATTTTGGTGTTTCAATGAAAATCTTGGGGTCTCCATTCTCCAATGAAAATTTTGGGGTCTCCAATTAAAATCTTTCGGTCTCCAATTAAAATCTTACGGTCTCCAATGACAATCTTTGAGTCTCCAATGAAAATCTTGGAGTCTCCAATGAAAATCTTGGAGTCTCCAATGAAAATCTTTGGTCTCTCTAAAGGGAATCTTGAGTTTCTCAAATGAAAATCTGGGAGATCTCCAGTAAAAATTTTGGAGTCCTCCAATGACAATCTTGGGGGTCTCCAATAGAAATCTTGGAGATATTTGATGAAAATTCATTTTAATCATTTTAATGGGAATCCAATATAAATCTTTGGGTCTCCAATGAAATCTTGTGGGTCTACGACAAAAATCTGGGAGCTCCAACAAAAATGTGGGGGTCTTCAATGAAAATCTGGGGTCTACAATAAAAATCTGAAAATGTTGGGTCTCGCACGCAAATCTTGGGTCTCACACGAAAATCTGGGAGTCTCTTACAAAAATCTGGGAGTCTCACACCAAAATCTGGGAGCCTTACACAAAAATCTCAGAGTCTCACACAAAAATCTCAGAGTCTCAAACGAAAATCTGGGGTCTCCAATTTATTGTGAACGCTCCCTTTAATGTGTTTTTATCTTTTTATTATTTAGACCTGAGACAGCGACTATGCAGTCTCGACGCAGAAGCCAGAGTGTCGTTATCGGGAGTAGTTCAGAGGTCAACAACAGTAGGTTTACTCAGTCCACTTTTCCAGCTAACAGGTATTCAAAGTATATGGTAGGGCTCACATAGATTTCATTAGAAGTGGATCATTCATTTGGCGTACTGTCCTGGTTTTACAGTGCCAGCCACAGTTCTCACAACGAATAGCATTTTTTGAAAATTAACCATCAAATAAGAAACTGTTTGATATACACTTAACTAACAGCTGGACAGGTGTTATACCAAGGGCGGCTTCCAAGTGCAACTTCTAAAGTTGCAACTTCCCTAATGTGCATTTTCCCATGTGGCACATTCCCAAAGGTTAGGTTAGGCCTTGCAGCGCTGTATGCTGCAATGATGGATGGGCTAGGGACTGAGCGCTGTGGCAAGTTGCTGCTTGAGAAATTGCATTCTAAGGAAAATGTCCTTGGGAAGTTGATACTTGGGAAAATGCCCTTACACAAGTATGATCCAAGGCGTTCGTCTATCGTTAGTTCCTTTTTTTTTAACGACACCATTCCTTTGTCAACAAAAACTATGCCCATCCCTTCACGCGAGGGCATAATTGAGAATTAGAATTTGTTGAGGAATAGTTTATGACTGATCTTCCGTTCCTGATATATTTTTCAGATTTTATTTTATTATCTTAGGTTTGAATAGAAAATCGGATTTAGTTTAAACCACTTCTTGCTATTCATAGAATCTCACCTCAATAATATTTCTTAATTGCCTGTTGAAATAATTTTTATTAATTTCAGTATTTTTAATCTTAAGTTTTGCTTGCATTCATTTTCTCATTTTGAAGTTTAATTTACATTTGTTTACTAAGTACTAATTTAGTATATTTAGGACTGGGCGACTCAGATAATTGGAATTCTGGTCCAGTATTAGATTTTGTTTGTGATATATCGTATAAATAAGGATGGGCATCTTTGTTTGGTCCGTTTTTAAGCATTCAGGGTTAAGAATCTCAGCTGTTTCAAATATCAAAATCTATTTGATTTTATTTCATTTTGCTAAATTTTTCACTGGTCAAAATGTTTACCATAAATGTTCACCCATCGTTTTAGTTAAAATCTTTCGTCAAAGCATACAAATATGAAATATAGAATCGATCTTAGATTCTTGTGATTGTACATTTTTTAAAAACGGACCTCTAAAACAATGCCCATCCATAGAAACCCAATTGTACCTGATTTCTTTAGACCTATTTGACCTATTTGACCTCTGCTAAGTTGATTTAAGAACCAAATATTTTGAATATTTTTTATTAGCTTTTGATGATTTTAATTGACGATTTTTTGGAAAAAACAAAAAACGTTATTTATTATGAGCTTTTGACATTCAACTAAAAACTTTTTAATCCTTACAAAATGATATGCATTGTGATATAGTGTGATATTTTATTTACAATTTGTATGACATAATAACGATAAATATATATATGCTTATTTTAACTTTCATGAACTATAAATATAAAATAAAGATTTGATCTTTTCTTAGTTTTAGTTTTTACTTAATTGTCAACTGTTTGTCAGCTTGTTTCTAATGTTTCACGTTTATGAGGTGCATACCTTAAATATTGTATCAGATATTAAAAAACAGGGCAACTGCCTTATTTTTCTGTGCTAAAGAGCTCATGAATGATGATAAACGGTGTATGGGATGAACTATCTTAATTTCTCAGAGATATTTATTTTTTAATTGTTGGCTCTATTTCTTCATACCAACCCATTATTTTTAGAGTGGTTTGTCACATCTACAACAGAATTCTTAAAACCTTTTTTTCTGGATGATAGCTAGAAATGTGTATTTGTCACTGAAACGTTCATAATTGTTGAACACTTTGCTTGCAAGCACTTAAAATAAACCTTTATTTTTTAAGAATATTCACATTAGAATTTTTGAAAATTGCGTTGAACTCAAGATTCTCTAGAAATATATGAAGTAAAGTCACCTGTGTTGAGTTCACACTTTAATTATCAGTTTTACAATTATTTGAATACTAAATTATAATCATTCAATACTCGTCAAAAGAGTAAGGACAAACTCCTGATGATGCCAAAGTTTTTGGCGAAATATATTGAGAAGAAAATGATATAATTCTAGTGCTAGAGAGTAGGGTTGGGATTTGTTTAAAAAAAATCTAAATTATAATAACATTCAGAATTATATTTACTGGTCAAAAGTTTGAGGATAATATGAGATCACAAAATGCCAACCCCCCAAAAGTTTAAAGAATGTTACTTCAGAGTTGACTGTACTTGGTCATTGTTCCCTGCAAACAATATTTTTTTGCCTTTAGATGAATGAATTTAAAGGGAGTGTCTGGCTATAAATAAGTTGAGCTGAGAGTGCAATCCCTGCAAACATTTAGTCTTCGACAAACCGATAGTAAACAAGTCCAGAATTATTTATCCTACAACTTCGCCATCGGCACATAGGGTCGATAAAAATGTTTACTGAGGTTTCTGGGGTATTCAAGAGAAATTATTTAGAAATTATTTGAGATCTTTAAGACTTTTATACAGCATAAAATTGCTTAGCGCGCTAAATCAATTTCTAAAACCCTCCTGGCTATCGCCCTCAGGCAGGTTGTCGAACGGCAACCCAACGTGCAGGCATGCTGAGCCACAACTTGCTGGGCAGGTATGGAGGGTAACAACCTGAGGTGCAGGTATGCAGGGCAACAATCTGCTAGACAGGTATGCAGTGCAACAACCTACTGGGCAGGTATGCAGGGCAACAACCTGCTAGACAGGTATGCAGTGCCACAACCTGCTGTGCAGGTATGCAGGGCAACAACCTGCTGGGCAGATATACAGGGCAACAACCTACTGGGCAGGTTTGTAGGGCAACAACCTACTGGGCAGGTATGCAGGGCAACAACCTACTGGGCAGGGATTTAGGGCAACAACCCACTGGGCAGGTTTGCAGGGCAACAACCTATTGGGCAGGTTTGCAGGGCAACAACCTACTGGGCATGTTTGTAGGGCAACAACCTGCTGGGGAGGTATACAGGGCAACAACCTACTGGGCAAATTTGCAGGGCAACAAGCTATTGGGCAGGTTTGCAGGGCAACAACCTACTGGGAAGGTTTGCAGGGCAACAACCTACTGGGCAGGTTTGCAGGGCAAAAACCTACTGGGCAGGTATACAGGTCAACAACCTACTAGGCAGGTTTGCAGGGCACCAACCTACTGTGCAGGTATGCAGGACAACAACCTACTGGGCAGGTTTGCAGGGCAACGACCTACTGGGCAGGTTTGCAGGGCAAAAACTTGCTGGGCAGGTATACAGGACAACAACCTACTGGGCAGGTTTGCAGGGCAACAACCTACTGTGCGGGTATGCAGGGCAACAACCTACTGGGCAGGTAGTTAGGGCAACAACCTGCTGGGCAGGTATACAGGGCAACAACCTACTGGGCAGGTATACAGGGCAATAACCTACTGGGCAGGTTTACAGGGCAACAACCTACTGGGCAGGTATGCAGGGCAACAACCTACTGGGCAGGTATGCAGGGCAACAACCTACTGGGCAGGTTTGCAGGGCAACAACCTACCTGGCAGATTTGCAGGGCAACAACCTGATGGGCACGTATGCAGTGCAACAACCTACTGGACAGGTTTGCAGGGCAACAACCTACTGGGCAGGTATGCAGTGCAGCAACCTACTGGGCAGGTATGCAGTGCAACAACCCGCTGGGCGGGTATGCAGGGCAAAAAAACCTGCTGGCAAGTTTGCAGGGCAACAACCTACTGGGGAGGTATGCAGGGCAACAACCTACTGGGCAGGTATGCAGGGCAACAACAACGACTTTTGATTTCAATTTTGATTTATATCAAGCTGTTAAACAGCATAGTGACACATAAACATAGAATCCATTTGAAAAAGCTTCTTTTTGATAGCTTGTAACTTGTAAGTTGATATAAGCTTGTTAACAATAAGAATTTAAATAAAAAAGTTGTTTCATTGTATTGATATAATCGCCTACCAGTGTAGGAAAACCTGTGTCTGGAATCTTTGATAAGACATATTTTGTAAATAATTAGAAAAAAATGTAATAATAAAATGCTTTTGTTAATAAACTATAAATATAAATATAATTGACTTTGGTTAAGCATATTTTATTTCAGAAAAGGTTTCATGGTATCTCTTGTATTCCTTTCAGTGGAAGGGTGTTAACAGCTGCCGTAAATTGTTTTAATGATCTAAGACTACACATCTCCTCTTAACTTTCCCGTTTTATTGGCATAAAAAAGAATATCAAAGATCAGAAGTATATAATCAACTATTATAAATAGTGCCTGATAAAAAAGGAAAACATTTAGAGAATAAATTCTGGAAGTATTTTTATTTGATATTTTATATTCTTTGATTTTATCGATACCTTTATTTCGAATTTTTATCAGATTATAAATAATCAAATATTTGACATTGGCAATTAATCTGAATTTGAAAAAACTCCCTGAAAATAATTGCTTAAATCAAAGATTAAAACAAAATTGCAGAAGCTCGCTTACTGAAAAGCAAATCTGGGAGGCTCGAGTCTGTATAGCGGAGGCTCCTGAAGGGTTAAATACAAGAACCCAATTTGCTTTCGTTAAAGTTTTATACTCTGTAATTGTACAGGGTGTCACGATAAGAATCGGAATTGGGTATCGGCTGTTATACCTTTTTAAATTTTCAGTTTATATCGGCAATTGTTTTTGTAGCTACTCACAAGACATAACCCTAGGCCCTCTGGTAGGTTTATGGACGTCAAAGTTAAAATGATACCCTAAAAACATGAATATTTTCTAGAATGCGCCAATTACAAAAATACATTTGAGACTGAATGAAAATTGTGAATTTCAGAGCAAAAATTAAAAGCTAGATTTGTTAATATGGGAAGGTTCTAAAAGCCTGGTATAAAAACATTTGTTTAAACCTTTCAAAATTGACTGATTACATTTCTCTGAGTTGAAACAACTCAGAATTCAGATGCATATTTTGAAAAGATAATTAAGTTTTTGTCAAGAACTGGGTCAAATTCTTAAAAAAAAAATTTAAGTTTAACATTCTTCTAATGAAGAGAGAGTATGTTCCGGCTGAACAACTAACTACCCATCTGTTTTTACTCTTGTGAGACAGAAATTTAAATGTTTTTTTATACCACAGTTAGAGATGGGCACATTGAGCATTTTTCATTTCGTGCGCTATATTTTCAATCGCTCCAAAAATAATTAATTTTGTTCGTCCTCAAAAATAAAGTTCTTTTTCCATCTATTTTGTTCGCTTTTTCCACTGACCAATCTTAAGTAAAATCGTTCGTTCAGTAAAATCGTTTTTTTACAAAACACGGTCGTTTAAAAACGAATGGCTTTTTGTAAAAGTTTTTTCGAGAAAATCGTTAGTTTAGTAAAATCTATTGTTTTTTAAAGTGTGTTCGAAAAAATCGTTGGTTTAGTAAAAAAAAGTTTTTTTTTAAATATTCAGAAAATTTGTTCATTCAATAAAAAAACGAACAAAATTGTGCATGAACAATCAAGATCGTTGAAATGATTTTATATCGTTCATTTTGATTTTTCGTTTGTTTTTGAAAAAAGTAATTTTTTTCATTTCCCTGAACCATCCATTTTGTTCGTTCATCGGTCGTTTATTTCAGAACCCCACCCTTTTTCACAAAAAAACAGTTTGTTCTAAAAACTTTCGTTCTTTCAGAAAACGATGCCCATCTCTAACCACAGTGGACTAGGGTCAATTTGAATTCGAACTGGACCAACTCCTTAAGCCGGCCTTTGTGACACGCGGCTTGTACTGGCCTGACCTAATCCTATGTCAGCCAGGATTTCACTTTGATGGCACGACCTGGATCGACTTTTTACAGTAACTGCAGCCTACCAATACCATTTACCTATTTGACCTACCTAAATTGACTACTCACACTCATGTATCCTGGATCTTATGAAGCCATAAACCTCAATCCACTCCTCACACGTATGAATCCTGGATCTTATGAAGCACTAAACGTCAATCCACTCCTCACACTTATGTATCCTGGATCTTATGAAGCCCTAAACCTCAATTGACTCCTCACACTTATGTATCCTGGATCTTATGAAGCCATAAAACTCAATTCACTCCTCACAATTATGTATCCTGGGTCTTATGAAGCCCTAAACCTCAATTGACTCCTCACACTTATGTATCCTGGATCTTATGAAGCCATAAACCTCAATCCACTCCACTTCACTCCAATCCACCATGTAAATGTTTCACATTTTCAACTAGAAAAAAGTTTCCTAACAATTTTTTTTCATGTATAGGGTAGGGTGGAGAAACTCAAACGGCGGGTCAGTGTTT